TGCTCAACAACACACCCCAAACCCCTCCCACAGTATTTGTGTAAGAGGGAGGTGGGGGAATTGAAAATAAAATTATTTAAAGGTGCCCAAGGGTTGAGAAACACTGCTCTAAAGCCTCTGAAACATGAACCTCTTCGATTATTAGGACTCTAAATAAATTAAGGCATTGATTGATTAAGTGCCATTGAGTCGGTACTGGCTTTTAGCATCCACAACACATTCGCTATTATGGGAGTCATGTCATATAACCCTGGTTATGAATATTTGATTGACGGGTTGACTATATTTTCCAAGTCTATGTACTGAGCAGGGATTGGGTGATGGCTGCTTCATGCTCTGCTTGGAAACACCTCTGAAGCTATAATAGTTGAGGCCCTTTAATAAAAGAAACCATCAACAGATTCCCTCTCTGGTGTGCAGATGTTTCCCAGCCCTGATGCCATTGCTCGTAAGGATGAGTAGCTACCAGCAACTGGACGAGGCAGGCAGGATGTCCTCTCCGTACCGGCTGCAAGCTTTCCTTGGGAGCTGGAGAAGCTTCAGTGGGATGGAAAGTTAATCTCAACGACAGCCCCTCTGCTGTAGTACTAAGAGCATTGGCCGGGGATCAGGGAGACCTGGGTTCAAATCCAGTTGGCTCTGAGCACCTATCTCTCTCAGCCTAACCTAATTCACAGGGCTGCTGCTGGGATGTTACAAGGAAGCGCAGCCCCATGTTACACTGCCTACATACGCGACCCATCGCTAGGGGTGAAAAGGATGGTACATGACTTGCACGCTTGTGTCAACATCACGCAAACGATGTAAATTATTCTTGGCTCTTTTTATTTTCTATGTACTGTAATTTTGTGATTTGAATTGATTTCAACTGCTTTGTAAACCACCCAGAGTTGTTTCAAGGAGATGGGCGGTGACGGATTTGATATATACATAAAATTATGTCCATGCATCATTTTTTGTCTGACGCAAAGGGATGCAAGTCTGTCCTTTACCTCGTCTACAGGATAACAGGGCACTGTTTTCAGGTTTACATAGGAGCCGTAAAAAGCATAGTACTTATTGTGATTCTTAAAGCATCGGCCCCTTTTTTTCAGGCTTGCACAAAAGCCCAGGCTGCTTTAATGGTTAGCCTTGAGGTGCTGCGCTCATCCTACCAAGAGATTTTTGAAGCACGGGCAAGCATCGCGCGCAAACATTTGTCCCATCAAATGTTCCTCAATCACTCAGGTGCGCAAAAAAGTGCCAATGCATGCTGTAGGAATTATAAAATGATGGCAGAAATTGTCAGTGCAGAATATATGGTGCAACAGCGTCTAGAAAAGAAGGGATACTCATGGGGGAATGGGAAATGGGAGTGGGACAACTCCTAAACTGAGTGCTCTGGGGTCAAATCTACCACCAGACTTCTGGGAATCCAAAGTGTGTGTGTGTGTGTGTGTGTGTGTATGTGTTTAAACAGGAGTTTGTTTACTGCAGCTCTGCATGATTCCTGTTCTCTCCTGGTCTTTTCAGTTGCCTTCTGGGGGCAATTGGATTGAATGACTCTTCTGTAACTTGACCGGGAGTGAATTTGCCCCTCAAAGTCGGCGCAAACATGCTGTAGCCTTACAGTACGTCTTTTTAGAGGAGGGTGTATCTCTGCATGGGTTCCTGTTCCAGCTGTTCTTTTTTCAGTGGAAAGGCATGGATTACCCCCTTGAAGGGGTATCATTCTTGCTCTCAAGACATTTAAAAGGAAACCTTTTCTGGTAGGTGCGAGGTGTACCTCTGGGTTTCATTCCAAAAAAACCCGCCTCTCGGATTGCTTAAGTTTGGACTGGTGCTTGCATAATTTATTCTTTGGCTGGCTTTCACTGCATCTGGGTATGTAGCACAGCCAAATTAGTAGTAGTATTAAGTAACCATCTGGAAATGTGTGCATTGAGATCAGTGAGCAGCAAAGAAACAAAGTCCCAAAACCTTGTGCAATTGGTGTGTGTGTGTTTAGTGGCAATGATTAGTTGTAGATCAATTGCAGGGGTAAATTTCACGTTAGGTTTCTTGCATTTGGCTCGGAGCTTCTAAAGTTAAGAAGTCTGTAGCCTATTGTTCTTCCAAGCTAAGTAAAGAAAAGAACATAGACTAAACAAACTAGGAATCTTTAATGTTTTGACAGACCGCCCTATCGAAAAAGATTAGGAAGGAGGATACGCTCTGCAAAGGGCCCCCCGCCATTTTTACATAAAGCGTGGCTCTACTGCGTGAAAGGCTGCATTTGAGAATGATAACGTTTGCTTTTCATCTTGGTTATCAGCGAAGGGCCTTTGATCTGCATTAATGCCTTATAGGGAGAACAAAGCAGCTATCCCTAATTCCATACAAGCTCACCCCACTTTTCTCTTACACTTAGGCAAAGCATAAAAAAGAAGTAAGAAATAGTCAGAGAAATCAAAGGTAGGAGAAAGGAGACGTAACTCAAACTAGTTCACCCCAGTGCCATTCCTAATCTTCTCCAGCCCTCAGAAACCATTCTTCCTTGCGCTGTGCCCACACACCCCTTCACACATTGCCTTTGCTCTTTACATTTCTCACTTCTTTTTCAAGAGCACATTGATTCCACCCAACGATGACTTCCTTGTCTGTCTTTTCCTTTCAACCCATTCGCTCTTCCTTCATGAATTTGTTTTGCAGCTTGACCCCCATTTGCTCTCCATGACCAAACCACCCACAAATTCCATTTTCACCCTGGACTTTTGTATTTACCCTACAACCAGTTGGCACTCATTGAATCAATTTCTTCTTATTTATCCACAAACCCACTTCTTAAGGAACCCATTCCCACTGCATTCAATTTACTTTTATGTTTCTCCTGACATACAGAGTTTTCAGTTCTGTATAACTTTTGACCAACATTCCTCACAACAGAACACATACCACCTACTACTCTTCTACCAGCATTTCCACTGCTTAATTTTTTTCCATCCATTTTCCTATCTTTAGGAAACATTTTCAAAGATCCACAAATTCTTCTACTGTACTTGCTGTAGTTTTTCACCAGTTATGTGTCATTTGCAATTGTTCACCCTATTTTCCTGTCAAATACAACTAATGTTCAGGTCTGTACTTCTAGTTGCATCATATAATCGATTGAACATTCACTGCAAATCAGTTAAAATCCAAGAGAGAATTAATCTCAATCATTAACAAGGAAAAATGGGGTGAAAGATAGCTTTTAACCTCTTCTGAAATTGGGGCACAGTGAGAACCAAACTGTGATGGAATGGAATTATGAAGGCCAGACTCAGGGAGATAAACATTTTCTTAGCTCGCCA